GGGCATACAACTAAAAAAACTGGAAAAAGAACAAATTAAAAATCCTTAATTAAATACCAAATTAGAAATATTGAAAACCAAAGGAAAAATTAATAAAATTGAAATTAAGAAAACTATTGAACTAATAAATAAAACTAAGAGCTGGTTTTATGAAAAAAACAATAAAATGGATAAACCTTTGGTTAATTTAATTTAAAAAAAGAAAGAAGAAAACCAAATTACTAGTATCAAGAATGAAAAGTATGAAGTTACCACTAAAGAAGAGGAAATTAAAACAATAATTAGGAATTATTTTGTCCAGCTATATGCCAACAAATTTGACAATCTTAATAAAATGGATACATATTTACAAAAATATAAATTGCCCAGATTAACAGAAGAGGAAGTAAAGTACTTAAATAACCCCATCTCAGAAAAAGAAATTGAACGAGCCATTGATGAACTCCCTAGGAAAAAATCTCCAGAGCCAGATGGATTTATATGCAAATTCTATCAAACATTTAAAGAACAATTAATTCCAATACTATAGAGACTATTTGGGAAAATAGGTGACGAAGGAGTCTTACCAAATTCTTTTTATGATACAAATATGACGCTGATACCTGAACAAGGAAGAGTCAAAACAGAGAAAGAATATTATAGACCAATTTCTCTTATGAATATGGATGCAAAAATTTTAAACAAAATATTAGCAAATAGATTACAGCAAGTTATCACAAGAATAATACACTATGACCAGGTAGGATTTATACCAGGAATGCAGGGCTGGTTCAATATTAGGAAAACTATCAGCATAATTGAGCATATCAACACCAAAACCATCAGAAACCACATGATCATCTCAATAGATGCAGAAAAAGTTTTTGACAAAATACACTTATTCCTATTGAAAACACTAGAAAGCATAGGTATAAATGGAGTCTTCCTTAAAATAATGGATAGCATCTATCTAAAACCTTCAGCAAGCATAATATGTAATGGGGACAAACTAGAAGCATTTCCAATAAGATTGGGGGTGAAACAAGGATGTCCATTATCACCACTATTATTCAAATATCATACTGGAAATGTTAGCTTTAGCAATAAGAGAAGAAAAAGAAATTGAAGGTATGAGAATAGGCAAAGAAGAAACAAAGCTATCACTGTTTGCAGATGACATGACGATATACTTAGAGAATCCTAGAGAATCAAGTAAAAACCTACTTGAAATAATAAACAACTTTAGCAAAGTTGCAGGCTATAAAATAAACCCACATAAATCATCGGCATTTCTATATATTACCACCAAAGCCCAACAGCAAGAAATAGAAAGAGAAATTCCATTTAAACTTATTGTAGACATTATAAAATATTTGGGAGTCTACCTCCCAAAACAAACCCAGTAACTCTATGAACACAATTACAAAACACTTTTCACACAAATAAAGTCAGATCTAAATAATTACAAAAACATCACTTGCTCATGGGTAGGCTGAGCTAATATAATAAAAATGACAATTCTACCTAAGCTAATTTATTTATTCAGTGCCATACCAATCAAACTGCCAAAAATTATTTTATAGAATTAGAAAAAATAATGACAAGATTTATTTGGAAGAACAAAAGGTCCAGAATATCAGGGAATCTAATGAAAAGAAATGCAGGGGAGGGTGGCCTAGCAATTCCAGATCTTAAATTGTATTATAAAGCAGCAATCATTAAAACTCTTTGTTACTGGCTAAGAAATAGAGTGGTGGATCAGTAGAATAGGTTAAATACGCAAGACACAGTAGTCAATGACTATAGTAATCTATTATTTGATAAATCCAAAGACCCCAGCTTCTGGGATAAGAACCCACTCTTTGAAAAAAAACTGCTGGGAAAACTGGAAAAGAGTATGGCAGAAACGAGGCATAAACCAAACTCTCACACCATATACTAAAATAAAGTCAAAATGAGTTCATGATTTAGATATAAAGGCTGATACTATAAGCAAACTGGGAGAGTTAGGAATAGTTTACCTATCAGATCTATGGAGAACAGAAGAATTCATGACCAAACAGGAGATAGAGAACATTATGAAAAGCAAAATGGATAATTCTGATTACATTAAACTAAAAAGTTTTTGCACAAACAAAACCAATGCAACTAAAATTACAAAGAAGGTAGAAGACTGGGAAATAATTTTTACAACCAGTCTCTCTGATAAGGACCTCATTTCTAAAATATATAGAGAATTAAGTCAAATTTATAAGAATACAAGCCATTCCCCAATTGATAAATGGTCAAAGGATATGAACAGACAGTTCTCAGATGAAGAAATTAAAGCCATCTACAATCATATGGAAAAAATGCTCTAAATCATTATTGATTAGAGAAATGTAAATCAAAACAACTCTGAGGTACCACATCACACCTACCAGATTGATGAACATGACAAAACAGGAAAATGGTAAATGTTGGAGAAGATGTGGGAAAATTAGAACACTAATGCATTGTTGGTGGAGTTGTGAATTGATTCAACCATTTTGGAGAACAATTAGGAACTATGCCCAAAGGGCTACAAAAATGTGCATACCCTTTGACCCAGCAATACCACTTCTAGGGCTATATCCCAAAGAGATCATACAAATGGGAAAAGGACCCACGAGTACAAAAATATTCATAGCAGCTCTTTTTTGTGGTGGCAAAGAATTGGAAATTGAGAGGATGCCCATCAATTGGGGAATGGCTGAGCAAGTTGTACTATATGAATGTAGTGGAATAAGAAGTTATATATAAGTTATATATATAACACATATAAGTGTTATAAGAAATGATAAGCAGGAAGACTTCAGAAAAACCTGGAAAGTCTTGTGTGGACTGATGGTGAGTGAAGTAAGCAGAACCAGGAGAACATTGTACACAGTAACAACCACATTGTGTAATGACTAACTTTGATAGACTTAGCCCTTCTCAGCAATGCAAGGATCTAAGACATCTTCAAAAGTCTCATGATAGAAAATGCTATCCACATCCAAAGAAAGAACTATGGAGTTTGAATGCAGATTGAAGTATAGTATTTGCTCTTTTTTTCCTTTCTGTTTTGTTTTGTTTCCTCTTTCTGGTGGTTCCTTCTCTTGCTTCTAATTCTTCCTTACAAAATGACTAATGTGAAAATATGTTTAATAGGAATGTATATGTATAGCCTGTATCAGATTGCATGCTGTTTTGGGAAGGGAGGTGGAGAGGGAAAAGGAGGAAAATTTAAAACTCAAAAGCTTATGGAAGTGATTGTTGATAAAATCAAAATAAATTAATTTTAAAAAATAAAAAAAGGAATTGCTGAGGATCAAATGAAATAATATTCATAAACCACTTAGAAATCCTCCAGATGCTATATAAATGCTTGCTATTATTATTATGATTAAATCTAAAGGGGACCCCAGAGGCTGTCTAGTCCACCCTTATTCATTTTACAGATGAGGAAACTGGGGCACAGTGAAGTTAAACGACGCCCAAGGTAAACAGGTAGGTAAGTGATGGAGGTGGAATTTCAGCCCAGGGCTTGTGACTCTAAAGTACACTTTCTGCTATGCCATGCTGGTTGAATGGAGTAGAAGTATTTTAGAGGAAGAGGTGGTGTGAATATAGCAGAGTGGACAGAGAAGAATAGATGAGATTATGTGGACATGTTAGCAGGTCAGAGTTAACATGTCCATGTGGCAGAATAGATAGACTGTAGTGGATGGAATGGAGTGGAAACAATGAAGTGGAATGGCTCAATAGCGAAGGTGTTGTTGAGGAGACAAGATGGAGTCAGTGAGATGGAATAGTCAAATTAAATGATTGCAGTAGAATGTGAGATGGAGCATCCAGGTACTGCCAGTGGAACAAGGGAATTCTTTAAGCAGAGTCTGTGGAGGTCAGCAGGCTGGAGTAAATGAGATAAAGGGTTTAAGGGAGAATGAATGTTCTAAACATAGGGTAAAGTGCTCATAAGCATAATAATAATGGCTAACATTTCCATAGCGCTAAGGTTTTCAAAGCTTTATTTGTCTTCATAACCTTGGGAGGTAGGTGCTATTATGATCCCCATTTTACAGATGAGGAAACTGAGGCAGAAAGAGATGAAGTGACTTACTTGTCCAAGGTCACACAGCTAGTAAGTATCTGAGGCTGGATTTGAACTCAGGTCTTCCCAACCCAGACCCAACACTCTATCCAGTGTACCATATAACTTCCTCTGGCCATCCATGAGGTACTGGGAAAGGGTAGAGTAAACAAAATCATATTAATGAGTATTTTCTTTTCAATAAACATTTATTGTGTGCCTACCTTTGGGCAAGGTACTGAGGGAGATACAAGACATAGATGAGGAATGGAAACAAGCCCAATTCTACCTAGTTCTCTTGGGGAAACTCCCATTGCTTCCAACCAGCTTCTTCTTATCTTCGAGGAACTCTCCTTCCCTGGTTTCTCTCCTACTCCAGCGCTGCTGAATATTGCTGGAGAAAGTCACAAAAAATCCAACTGGTTTCACTGACTCCAAATGTATAGTGCAAAACCTCAACTGAGACAGTAGCTTAACATAGTAGCCAGAAAGCTGGTTATTTGTCAGATCTCTCCTTTGCCTCCTGCTTACTCCCTTTATTTTATTACCCTGGTCTTTGATGATATTGTCTTCCCCTGTAGAATATGAGCACTGAGAGGGCCAAACTGTTGCTTTTTTGTCTGCCCAGCACAGTCCTATGCAAATAACAGGGACTTGTTAATATTTGTTTGCTTGAATTAGCCTCAGAGAGCAGAACAATGATCCACATGTAGGCATTGCAGAGGCAAATTTGAACTCTACTTAAAGAAAAAGTCCTTAACACTTAGACCTAAGGTTGGAAGAGAAACACAATGTTGCCTAGTGAGTGGATAGCAAGCAGACCTGTGTCCTAGTCCTGGCTTGACTTCCTGGACACATAACTCCCAGCAATTCATGTCAGTGCTTTGGGCAACTCTAAATTGAAGAACAGTTGGAGATCTGCATCAGTGGAGGTATAAATCTTCACAAGAGTTCCCTACACACCAAGGAAATTTTAGGTCTTAAACAACAACACAAACAACAAAAAAGCCACTAAATGAACAAATCCCACACCTGGCAGCCTATAATCTTCTCTAATCAACATTTGATCTCATCCTTCACAACTGTACCAAGACTTTTTACCTCTTCTCATACCTCAACTTCAAGCCCACCCCCTACTTAGAGCAAATTACTTAGTTTCCTACTTCAGGAAGAAGAATGAGACTACCCCCCCCCAAAAAAAATAAACTTATTTTGTTTTGAAGATACAGTTATGTACATATTGTAAATTCTGTCCCCCACCCGCCATAGAATTCTAGAGTGCAAGAACAGTTGCTTTTTTGTCTTTGTGTGCCTAGTGTCTAGCATAGTGCCTGGCACACAGTAGGTGCTTAATAAATCTTGTTCACCATTGGTCTGAACAGGTTAGGCCCTATCCTGTGGGTGCTGTTGCAGATACTGACTATGATATAAAAGCTCCTATTCTTAAATGATCTCTAAGCTTCACATTGAAGAGGTAACTATTAGCTTCAGAAATCCTTAATGTTGTTTAGGAATAACTAGCTATGTAAGAATTGATTGAGTGATTGGCTGGAATACCATTAATTTTTCTACTCCTTGACATTTTTCAGAATCATCATCTACTCTCTCCTCCACTCTTCTAGTGCCAAAGTAAGACTAATAATCTCTATGCCTATGCATTTGTCTCCAGTTTTTCCAACCTCCTCTGAGTTTTGCTTCAGGAATCATTCCCTCCCTCTTTTTCATGCATCTTCAGTCTCTTTCTTTCTGTTAGCTCCTTGCCATCTGTCCATAAACATGCTTGTATCTCTCTAATCCCCCCAAAAGTTTCCCTTGGCTCTTCTACGCCATTCTGCTATTGTCCCATTTCTCCTCCTCTCCAAATTTCTTGGGAAAGTTTTTACACTTGATTTTCCCATGACCTTACCACCAATCCTCTCTCCTCAACTCCTTAAAATTTGGCATCTCTGCCCATCACTCCACTGAAACTCCTGTCTTTCCAAGGTCACCAAAACTTCCTAACTACCAGATTGCATGGCCTTTTGTTCAAGACTCACTGTCCCAGAACTTTGACCACTCATTGCTGTATTCCTGCCTTCTGGATATTCCCTCTTCCCTTGGTTTCATGGACATCACATGGTTGTCCACCTACCTATCTAACCACTCTTCCTCCTTCTTTGTAGGCTCTTTCCTGACACTATAAGTGGGGTAATGCCAGATGCTCTGTCTTTTGCTGTCTCCTCTTCTCCCTTCAAAAATAAGAGTACCTCACGTTTCTATGGTGCTTTATGGTTCACATGATCAATACCTGACTGTCCTTTTGACTTTGCTTTTACAATAGTGTTACTAGTAGTCTGAGACACTACCATTCATCTAGTCTTCCATGCTTGATACTTTAGAGTTACCTGAAATTACCTTATTGTTAGCTCTGGGGACTGATTGTGTGTGGTGACAAGCCTTCTGAATGAGTATACTGATACACTGTTTAATATTACCAGCATAACAGATGTCACAGAAGATGTCAAGCCATACATAAATGTCCAGTCATAAAGATACCCTGTAAGCCAAAAGGAAACCATGAGGTAATGTTTAGAGGAAATAGGGCTAGGATCAACTGTTTCTGGACCTTTTGAAGTCCTTGGGCCCGCTGAATCCTCTCCAGCCCCCTCCCTTAGCTCCAGTTAGGTCTTATGCACCACATTCTGTTAGAATTAATCCAGACTTAGAAGGATATTAGTCCTCCATATTTTAGGCAAGTACATAGAAGAGGGAGCATAGAGCACAGGGCTATATGGGGATTAGGTCACACTTGGGAGTCAAGACCAGGTGCAGACCAGGAGATATGGATTAGTTTTGCAGAGACAGTAGGGAAAAATTCAGAATCAGGGAACACTTAGAAGGATGCCTACACATGGACTGGTGGACACAAGGGGGCCAAACTATGCAGAGACTGCAACCCAGAGTTCAGGGCAGTACATGAGCTGAGGGCTATACAGGTCTGAAATGTTCAGAGTTGAGGGTGGAGGGGAAAATACAGACCAAGGCTACACTGAGCTAGAAGGGGTCAGAACTGCAGAAAGACTAGTGGACCCTCAGGATCTGGGCTACTTAAGGACTGCCCAACTGGAGCTTTATTAACATCCCATGATTCCATCACCTTCCTACCCTACTTATCCCCTTCTTACCTCAACACCTGTGCTCTATCCATAGGTGTCATTTCAACTTCAAATGCAAAAGTTACAATCAGGAACCCATTGATCTCAAACATCCCAGGAACTGACCTGAGAAGATATACTGAAAGAAACCCTTACATGAAGCATTCTGGGAAGATGGCAGAGTAGGTCAGACATTTCCAGACTCTCCAAATTTCCTCCACAAACAGACAGAACAACACCACAAAATGAATGCAGAGCAGTAAAAGTAAAGGAATAAAGCAATTGTCTTCCTAAGACAACTTGACAGAACCTTAGGAAAGATAGGCCCTCATGAGGCTGAAGTTTGGTGTGAGTGAAGTGTAGACATCTCCAGGCCAACTCTGCTGAATCAACAAAGCGCAGGCCCTGGAAGGAACTCCTTCAAGAAGCAAACAAAGACTCAAGAAGTTTCACCTCACAAAATTTTCACTTCACAAACTTTCATCTAACAAAAAGCTTATGGATCAGATGGCTAAGTGGGAGAAGACTGAAAAACACCTACTGTTTCTGGACATCAGGCCTAGTGGTGCTGACCAGACATGATGCCAGGCTGTGGATAAAAAAGAGCAAGTACATGCCAGTGAGTGAGGTACCTCAGGAAGCAAGAACATTTGTGGGATGTCACTGGAGGCCCTACCTGTGGCTTAGGGGAGGAGAGGAGTGCCTGAGGTTGAACCCCTGGACAGAATTCAGAAAATAACAGTAAGGAAGACCTCAGGACTAGGGTACCATCACCACAAGTCAGGATTAAAACTTGATTACAATAATAAGCTGCTAAAAATAGACTAAAACAAAATAAAAATGAGTAAACAAAGGAAAAAGAGTCCCACCATACACAGCTCCTATGGTATAAAAAGATCTGGGTTCATATTCACAGGAAGATAGTGAGGTTAAAAACAGCCACTCCTACTCCAAGGAATTACATCAAATTGTCACAAGCCCAAAAAGAGTATTTGGAATAACTTTAAAAAGGGCTTCAACAATCAACTAAGAGAGACTGAGGAAAATTATAAAAAAATAAAAGCAATGCAAAAAAATCATGACAAAAAAAGTTAACCAATTGGAAAAAGAGGTCCTAAATCTTAAGGAGGACAATAACTCCTTGAAAACTAGAACTGAATGAGGGGAATCAAATGACATTATAAGATGCCAAGAAACACTAAAATTGAAAAAAAAAAAAAGAAGAGAATTTGAAGTATCTCATTAGAAAAACAAATGATCTGGTGAATAGATTGAGGAGTGACAATATGAGAATTGTAAGACTACCTAAAAGTCATGATCAGAATAAGAACCTTGATACAATGTTATAAAAAATTATTAAAGAAAATTGCCCTGAAGCTCTAAAAGAAGAGGATAAAAAAGAAATAGAAAAAAAAATCTACTATTCACAACCTGAAAGATTCCAGGAGGAAAAATTACAGGAATGTCTTAGCCAAGTTTCATACTTCCCAGATTAAGGAGAGAACATTGCAATCAAGAAGAAAAAAATAATTTAAATACTGTGGAGATAACATCAGTATTTCACAAGACTTGGCAGCTTTTACACTAAAAGACTGTGGGTCTTGGAACATTGTATTTTGAAGAGAAAAAGAGCTAAAGTTGCAACCATGAATAACTTACCCAGCAAAGTTGATTATAATTCTGAATGAAAAAAATGGATATTTAATGAACTTCAAGACTTCAGGTATTTATGACAAAAAGACCAGAACTAAAATGGAAATTTTGATGTATAAGATTCAGAAGAAATAAAAGAAAACATTGAAGACTAATTATAAGGGACTCATTAAGGTCAAACTGTTTACTTCTAATATATGAAAATGTTAACACTATTCTTAAGAGTGTCATCATTACTAGAGTAGTTTGAAAGAAAGGTTGAGGCTGAGTTGTTAATGATGGAGTTATTCTGAAAAACAAAATTGGGAAGGAAAAGGTAAAAAAAGCAATTATCTCCTGTAAATTGGGCATGAAAAGAAGAAATGATACAGAGGAAGCAGGTAGGGGTGGAGGGCTGGTAGTGCTAGAATTTCACTCTCATTGGATCTGGGTTAAACAGGAAACAAAGTATACATCTAAAAGGGTATAAAAGTCTTCTAAACTTATAAAGAAGTAAGAGGACTAAGGGACAGGATAAGGAAAAGACTTTCAGAAGTTTGTGTAAATTAAGATTTGGGAATGTGGGGGGAGAGTAAGGGAAGGACTCTTAGAAGTTTGGGTAGAATAAAGATAAGTGAGTAAGGGGAGAGGATAAAGTAACAGGGATAGAGTAAAAAGAGGCTGAGAAAGACAATAGTGAGTAAAAACTGGATGCAGGAAAATTCACAAATTGTAACTTTGAATATGAATAGGATGCAGTGACCCATAAAATGAAAACAGCAGAATGGCTTAAAAATCAGAACCCAACAATATATTGTTTATAAGAAACACATGTAAGAATGACAGAGTTAAAATGTAGGGATGGAGTAGAATTTATTACGCTTCAGCTGTTGCAAAAAAGGCAAGGGTACAGGCAGCTAGGTGGCGCAGTGGATACAGAACCAGCCTCAGAGTCAGGAGGACCTGAGTTCAAATCCACCCTCAGAAACATAACACTTACTAGCTGTGTAACCATGGGCGAGTCACTTAACCCCATTGCCTAGCCAAAAAAAAACAAAAAACAAAAACGCAGGAGTAGCAATTATGATCTCAAAGTTATATCTAAAATAGATTTAATTAAAAGAGACAAACAGTATAACTACATTTTGGTAAAAGTTACCATAGACAATGAAGCAATATCAATACTCAAACTATATGCTCCAAATACTATAATATCTACATTTTGAAAAGAAATGTTAAATTAAATACAGGTGGAGATAGATAGTAGTAATATAACAGTGGGGGGACTAAAAGCTTTTCCTTTAAGAACTAGATAAATCTAACCAAAAAAAAAATAAGAAACAAGTCAAAGAATTGAATAGAATTTTAGATAAGCTGGATATCACAGTTAATTGAATGAAGTTAGAAAAGAATATACCTTTTTTCTCATGATGGAATACTACTGTGTTAAAAGAAATTATGGGGTAGTTGATATTAGAAAAATATGGGAAGACTTGAATGCAATAATAGAGTGAAATGAGCAGAACCAAGAGAACACTGTGTGTAGTAACAGTAATATTGTTTTAAGAACAGCTTTGAGTGAGCAAGTCATTTTTACTATTATAAATACTCAAATTAACTACAAAGGACATATGTAAGAATACACTCTCTGCATTCAGAGAAAGAACTGATAAATAAAAGTATGAATAGAATGGTTTTACATATATACACATATTTGTGTCTAATGGTAGACAATCTCTAGGGCTGGTAGTGGGGAAGGCAAGAAAAAAAGGAAAAAAAGAAATTTACATGGTGACTTTATTATGTATTTAAAAGGAATTGCAAGTTGTACATAATAGATTTGCAGTTTTATGTGCAATTGTCTTTTTTAAATCATGCTATGTTACGGAAATACTTATTTTATTCCATAAATTAAAAAATAAAATGAATAAAATTTTTTTAAAAGAGTCCCTCAAACCTCACAGAATCGCTGTAACCTTGATTTCTTTCATCTTCACCTATGCCTCTGTCATAGAATAATGGAACATTCCCAGTTGAAGAAGGAAGTAACTGAAATAGAGAATCTGAACTCCAAAAGATTTGTAGGACAACTTTTCATGTGCTTCTAGCCCCCCAGAAACCCACTGGTAGCTCCTATGTCTCATCTACAGAGACTGTACAAGAACAGTGAGTAGGAGCCCATGGTGGGGAGGCAAGGAGCAACATGGGAAGGGAGAAGAAAAGGACAAAGGTCTAGACAGAACTCAGAGTTCAAGAGAGAGTCAAGCACCTCAGAAAGACACAGCCAGATTATAAGACTTCAATTTTATTCTACTCAATAACTATTTCTTGAACATCTTTGTGCCAAGTATTGGAGATACAGAGACAAAAATAAAGCTACCCTTGCCCACAAGCAACACATTTTAAAGAAAGAGGATTGTAATTCTGTCATTTTCCAGATGTCATTCCTAAATTGTGGCGATGGAGAAAATCACGATAATTTAAATGTGGTCTAACCAGGGTACTGAACTGTAGGCCTCTGACCTAAAGGAATTTTGAGGAAGGGAAGAGGAGGAAGTTGGAAGAGTAGCAGAGGTAGAGAAACTAAACCTGGGAGGAAACAGGAAATTGAAAGTAGTGCCATGAGATTACCAGCAACATGGTCCAAGATGGGAGCTGTGTGGAGACATCTTCCTTGAAGACAGTAGGGATGGATACTATTTTGTTGATTCCCACCCCTAGTTCCCAAGGTGCTATTTTTAAATTTCCAGTCTCCATTTTAGGGTCTCTG